AGCGGAGCGCGGTCGGAGCGGCGCCCACAGCCGGCCCGGCCGGGCCGCGCCGCCGCCACCGCGGGAAGCGCTCGGTAAGCGATGGAGCGCAGCGGGGCCGTGCCGCCCCGGGGGGTGCCGGGGGGGAGCGGACAAAGGGCGGCGGTGCGCCCTGCCCGGGGACGGGGCGGCACGGAGGGGATGGGGACCGAGGGTGGTACCCCCCGCCGCCGCTGCATCCCCGCGGAGCGGGCTGGGGATGTCCGCCTTTGTGCCGTCGGGTCTCACCCCGCCCCGGGGTGAGCGGGGGGCACCGCGGAGGAGCCTCCTGGGCGGCCGGAGGGTGCGTGGAGCGGTGGGATGTGTGTCCGGAGCGGCGGGGGCTGCGGGATGCTGTGCCCGACGTGCGGGGATGGGCGGCTCTCCGGAGTTTGGCGAGCGGACAGCGAGCGGTCCTCACCCGCTCGGGTTCCTCTGCCTTTGCCACTGGAATTATTTCCTGCGAAAGGATCAACACGTGCTTTCCTTTCTCCGGGCCGAGAGTGCTGCTCAAAGGGGCTGAAACTCGGATGCCGTCGGGCTCGGTGCAGAACTCGCCGGGTTCGGGGTCTCACGGGGCTGCAGCCCAGGGGAGCCGCGGTTGAGCATCCCCGCGGATGGAGAGATGCTCTCCRGCTCACCCCGGGCCGCCGCACACTTCCCACGGTGCCGTGCCTCGGATTTCACCCTTTGCACGTGTGAGATCGCTCAGGACAGGGCAGGAGGGGGCCAGGCCGGTCCCTGGGGTGRGGGTCTGCAGCMCCCAGCGCTGCTGCCACGGGACACSGCAGCTCCGTTCCGTGCTAASAGCCCTGSCAGCGCTGCTGTCCTAGAAAGCCTGTAAGTCTTGTTTCTCCGTTCAGTGACGTCAGGTTGTTCAGGTTCTAAGGTACGTGAAGGTTTCACGTACAGCTGTACGCAGAGATTTCACGAGTAAGGGGCTTTTCCTCTATAATTTAAATTTTCTTGACACCGAGMGTGTTTGCAAGAGCACGGTGCCTGTCTCTGAGTTGTGCCGCTGCCTCTCGGTGCCGTGCGGTCTCCACAGACGCTGGTGTACCTTGGCAGCTCATCCCCTCCTTAGGAAATCCTCTGGAGTGAAAAGTAAGCGTAATTTGTTATGAAATAGGCTGATAGACGAAACTTCAGTTGGCGATTGAAACCAGATGTGCATATTTTCCTTTTGAATCCTCAAGCAATGGTAAAAGTCTGTTTTGACAGATTAGAAACTACTTGCAAATTGCAGAGGTAGCAGTGTCCTGAGATAATCCAGTAAAAACACGGGGGGCTGTGAGCATCTCTGCCCAGCGTCGGGTATCTCCGAGMACAGAAAATGCTGCTGCCATGACAAAGCCCAGATTCCCTTGGCCTGCCTCTGTCACAGGCAGAAATATTCACCAGGGCTTGGCTGTGGGCTGGAAAAAGAAATAAAGAAGCCCCAGAACGGTGTAGATAATGTTTCTAGAGAAAATATTTGGKGTGGGTCGTGAAACTGATTAGAGTGATAGTAAAAAACCTGAATTTCCGAGCGGTTTGCTCTGTCCTTACCTGTCGCGTCTCGGTGCGGGTTTGAAGCGAGCTTCTGATTTATTTCTTCATTTTTGAAAGTCCTCCGGCGCCCGAGGATGCTTGTGGCGGTGGGTGTGTCACACCCAGCTCTGGCACGGCCGGGCTCGGGGAGGCAGTAAGGGCTGGAGGCACTTCACCGGGAGGAGCATTCTGTCTCCTCGCCTCCAAAACTGGGGGAAAACGCAGCTAAAACAACCTGCCGTGGGATCGCTTCCTTCCCTCCGCTTCTGAGCAGGGAAGGAGCTGCCAGGCACGGCCACGTGGAGCGCGGCCACGGGTGCTGGAGGTTTTGCAGCTGAATCCCCGGCTCCGGACTCTCTCACTTGCAGCTTAAACCCAGAGGAGGGAGGGGAATTTTTGTGACTTCCAGCTCTGCACAGAGCCGAGATGTCCAGGAACCACACTGGTTATAGAAAGCAGATGGTCTTTTGCTGTAAATGCTAAACTTTGCATAGAAAATCTGTGCAAATCAGTTCAGTGGATAATTGATTTGTGTGAGTGAGATCCAGGTTTTYGTGTATGGAGATCAAGCAGACTGTGGGACAGAGCTGGCACCAATGTAGGTTAATTTTCAGCTATGGATACCTGCATAAATAAATACATATTATAAATATGCACACATGCAAATAGGCAAATATATACCAATATAAATCCCCAAATCTGCTTTGGTTAATTATATGCAATATTTTATTTTTTTTTGTAGTATCACAGGCTGGCTTCACTTTSAGCAGAAGTATAGGCAGAACAAGAAATACAACTTTTTGCCAAAACACGTGTATTTTGACACCACGGACATTTTAACACACTGACACCATGGGCTGTGTCCTGATGGGGTGGGGAGCGGAATGAGCTTTATCCCATTTGTCTATTTTATTATTKCTGGTTGATTTCTGATTCCTCAAATGGCAGCTGCGTGGTTTGAGACTCTTCTTCCTCTTTTTCTTTCTCTTTTACAACGTTGCATAGAGTTTTCCTTCTCTTTGTCGAGATGGAGGTGGTTTGCACTTGCCYTGTAAGGTCTCAGATGGAAAAGGGAACACCCCAAGCTGAAAGGGTGATTTGGGTTTTATTCCCTTCCCCCTCCCTTGTCACATGGTTTGTCCAATGATGTTGCTGAGAAATAGCCCTAATGAACATTAATCTGTGGTGGGGCAGACTTTGGACAGCGGGCTGGGACGGGGCAAGGTGCCAGAGATGCTCGTAGCTTTTTGGAGAGCTCAGCCTGCTGGGGTCGAGCCTCCTGCCCACGTCCCAGGGGAAGGAGAGGCCAAGCAGAGCCTTTCTATCAGATCTGYCCTCACCAAAACTTTCTCCTGGAGTGAAAATACCTTCAGAAAAACGAGTTTTACTCCCATGGCCATGGGGGACCAGGGTAGCAGAGGAGCTATGAGGTTGCTCCTCTGGAGCTCCTCAAGTTAGCTCTTTTCTTGGCTGACGTTTTCTGCTGCTTTCTCTCCCAAAACGGGGAGGAGGAGGAAGAGGAAGCGAGCCTGCTGACTCGGGGAAACAGAACCAAAAAAAAATAAAAGCAGGTCCCGAGCAGCAGAGGGCCGTGACTGCTGTGGGTCCCACATGCCCGGTGTGGTGAGAGCCACAGCTCCCATTGCAGGGTTCCTGCAGGGCTGGGCAAAAATATCACCAAAACAACAGCTCCTCCAGCATGTCTGCTCYTCAGAGAGCTAAATATAAACTATTAGGAGGGAATTTTCCACCATGCTGCTCCTCTGTGCCTGCCAGCCTGCCGGGCTGTTCCCCCTGGGATCCCCTRTCCCTGATCCCCAGCACGGCACGGGATGAGTGCCACCACTTTCTTTAGGGATGAGACCTTCTGTAAATTCCTTGAAAGCTGTCAGGGCGCTGGCAGACCTGAGCCCTGGAGCTCTGCTTCTGCCCACAAATCTCCCTAGGAGCATTGGCTGTGCTGGAATTGTGAAAAAGGGCTTCTCCAAGGTCACCCTCGTTGCCCGCAGTTGCAGCYTGGCTGCCCGCGACCCAGCTATTTCTGTATTTCTGTAGAGCARCAATGCAGAACGTGGCACTGCCACAGGGAACTGGAGAGAGCAGTTCCACTGGCTGCTTTGTTTTTCCAAACTTTTCTGAGCYGGCTGCCTCTGGAGAGACAAAAATTGCATTTCTGAAACCTCTGTGGGGTGTTGTGTCCCAGTACAGGCTGTGGATGTGTGAGTGTTYAGTCATCAATGGGTGAGGTGGGGATTAAGAATTAAGAAGTGGTGGTGCAGTTAATTTASAGCCAGAATTTCTCCTGGCTTCAGGTGTGTTATCCATGAGTTTTGTAGCCTGTGGTGTTGGTTGTGTTCCATATTGCATCTGATGCACCTGACATATGCTATCTGAAATAAATAAGGTTTGATTTCTTAGAAGTTTCTTTGAAATGCATGGAGGAGTAAAGTGCATTAGACTGACCTGGAGGAGCAGCACCAAACCCTGTGTAAAACTGCAGGCTGTGGGTCCCTGCATGGATGGGTGGGAAGTACCAGGCCAGTTTGGCTCCATAATCACTTCATTTGAGTAATATCTTAAGAACTGGTTGAGTGAGTGCAAAAWATCTGTTCTGGTGCATTGAGTTTCTATACCTCCCCCCTAAAAGTGTACCCAAGGGAGACTCRGTCATGGTTTTTGCTTTTCGAGGATTAAATGTAGCAGCATCATTGGTGTCACTCCTCTGTAGTCCATTTGAAGCAACCCTTGGGCTCCATCATTCCCTGTATTTGTGGCTCCTGGCCATAGGTTTTGCTTTCAGCAGCCAGGCTCAGGGCTGGCTGTGCGGTAGGTGTGGGGCTGTAGCCCCAATTTCGAGGATTAAATGTAGCTGAGGGAGGAGTTTGACTTCACCACCGTCTCGTGCTTACAGATCCTCGYGTCTCCTAGGGTTTGTAAAAAATGGGATCTGGCAAGCTTTGATCCAGCAGCTGGAAAACCTGCTCTGCTCTCCCTCTCTCTGCTCAAAACCAGCCCTGAAAGGAAGGACCAGGAGTCCTTTGGATGGCTGAGGAGAAGCAGGGCTGGGGAGGTGGTGGTGCAGAAGGATGTGGCTGCCAYGGTGCATCAGCTTTGGTCTCCAGACTGGTCTGGACCAGGGGGTCAAGAACTCACCCTTATCCTCCTCCTAAATCCAAGGGGATGAGTTARAGTGTGTTTTATTTGCATTTAAGGCATTTCTTTTTTGTCCTTTACCCCATGATGACTCTTGCAGCAACCCCAGACAAGCCTTCATGCTCCTCTGCCCCACCTGCACAAGTGCTGTCATCGCTATACTGCACCACTGGGAAATATTAATTGTAAGGAAAAGTAATTAATGCAGGCAACTGGTCTTCTCTGGTTAGGACAGCCTGGCAGCATAGTTAGGCCAGGTGGAGCTGGCCATTTCCTGTTTCAAGTGGTGTGGGAAAGTCACAATAACTGGGATTTTTGTTTCTGTGCTTGCCTTAACCTTACTGAGAACAGCCCTCTGACGTGCTGGGCAACA